TGAGGCTCCCCGTTGCTCAGCTGTCCGTAGGAGGTTAGGTAGGGCATGGGGGGATCGCCCCCCGTGGACCAGGCAGCCTCACCCAGCGAGTAGGAGAATCCAATGGAGGGGCTGTAGTAGTTTGGTAAGTAGGAATCGGACATTGCAGTGTATGCATTGTTCTGCAAGAGAAAAACGAGCACTGAACAGTTAGGAACAGGAGAACAAGCGGGCAGGGACCAGGACTAAGGGCCACCTCTGGCTTCCCTAGCCTTCCCACCCCGGGGTTGAGCCCACAAACAGGCCTGGCCCCAAGCACCTCTGCTGCTAGGGGTGCTCCCACAACGGCTTCGCTGCCCCCAGTACGAAGCACAAAGGCTCAGCAGGCTCCTCACACTGAGATCAGAGCACAGCTTTGGTGCGCCATGCAGGGCGCACACTGGGCTGCCCAGGAGCTCCTGCTCAGCTCTGAGAACAGCACCTTACCTCATGCACGGATATCATCTTCTGCTTTTCCTCTCTCTATGAAAGAAGGCTTTTCTCACCTGGGTAATGCACGTCTCAGAGCTTATTTTGCTGGGTGTTTGATGAAGGGCTTGGAGGAAGGAGGTGGAGAAGGGCAATACGGAGGGCAAAGGTCCAGTGGCACTGCACTGCCAAAACCATAAACATCCCTCGCTGCTCTTAGCACAAGCCCCTTCCTTGCACTTCCTACAGCTTTATCCTGACAATCCACAATTTGAGAGCTCCAAATACCCAAGAACTTGCAAACAAAACAGGATTTAATGCCAGAACGCCAGCTGCTCCAGCGCTGCAAGCACACACTCAAAAATACCTGAAAACAGAGAGCAGTCAGTAGTGCTGCACTGGGAGCCCTTTGCAGCACAGGGACCTCTGCAGCACAGCAAAGCAGGCTTTGGTCTCCCTTTTAACATCCAAATAGCCTTCAGGTTATGAAAACAAATGTTTAATTTTACAATTAGGAAACTCTCAGACATGACTAAGGTTCACTTACATGAAAAACATCTGTCATTCAGCATTCAAACCAACATCCCCCCGGGGAGCTGTTCAAGCCACACTAATGGACATTATCATCCAGTAACGTGAACCCATGTGCAGACAGCCTTGTGCTACACAGCAGCTTACATGCCAACCCGATGCAGATGAGATGAAAAGTCAGCCTGGGTTCCCATTTAAGAGCCTGGCTCGCAGCAGCTCTGCTCCATTTTTTGTTGAATCACGTTTTCGTGCGCCAGGCGCAGCTCCCACAAGACTTCACACCACACTGAAGCCTATGGAGGCTCCCAAGATGGCTCTGGCCTCCTCCAGAAACAGTTTTACCTCTCCACTATCCACTGAGTCAAAGGAAAGCAACAGGTTTGGGGCTGGGGCAGCCTCAGCCCTTCCAGAAAATCAGCAGGAATTATGGTAATGCTGCTCGGTTCATCGCACGACACGCTGCAAAACTTCCTGCGCTGCGTGAAGCTCAGAGTTACTGCAGCCTTTGTTTTCCCAGGGAAGATGGCACAGAAGTAAAACAATCAACTCTTAGCAGGGTACAGCTGTAGTTTCCAATTTCTGCAGCTCTGCTTTGCTATCAAGCACACCTCGCCCTGCTGCACTGGCACAAAGACCGATCGGTATGCAAATAAGCCTTTTAACTCTCTTCATTAAGACTTCTCGTGCAGTTGATTCCTCAAACTCACTATTCCTCTGCATCTGCACCTCAGACAAGGAGGGTTTAAGCTTACTGACTCCTGGAGCTGAGGAATCTCTGTGTTCCCGAGCCTTAAGAACACACAGCAGTGTGATTCTGCAGGGCTGACAGCTAAGAGTCACACCTGAAACTGCAGCTCTCCAGCAAAGAGCCAAGAAACTTTACCAGGTGTCACCTGGTGTGAGCGCAGGCAGCTCAGGTAGCAGCTCTGAAAGCACCTGCATTACTCTGCAACAGTTGGCTGCGTTTAATTCAGAGCCTCAGCTCCCTTCCCCTCGCCAGAAAGGCACACGTGTGACACTGCTGTCACAGCCCAGCTCGTGGGCTCGGCAGCTCCGCCATCCAAACTGAACCCCAGCTTTTTGTTTGCTGCCCACTGAGGCATCAAAGGACGGATGAGAGCGACGGGCAACGCAGTGCAGTGAGAGAAAAGGAGGCAAAGTCACCCTCAAGTTTCACCCAACGTGAACACAGAGGTTTTCCCTCACTGCTGCTGCATTCCCACAGCTCTGCTCCCCCTCCTCAGCTGCTGTCCTTTCTCACGACAGCCTGACCAGTTTGTGACACGCGTGCACAAGAAGAAACTAAATGTTGAGATGTGGCCCAAAATGGAGTAAAATACCACTGGGAAAAGGAAGCAGCTCGCTTTATTCAGGGGTGGAGAAAGCAGTCACTCCTCTCTCCCTGTGCAACTCAGATTCAGGCCTGTGACTTGTTTTAGGGAGCTAAATAGAGCAGAGTTACTTAACGGACAGGTGGAATGCCCAAGATTGTGCAACAGCTAACAGGTCCTTACAGAGCACAAGCAAGGAAAATACCTGCTGAGCGTTTAACTGAGACAGAAACCTGCTCATACGTTCCAACAAAACATGAATCACAAGCATCTGAAACGATACACTGACCAGGAAAAGTGATTAAAAAATACAGAAAGGGAGAAACAAAGCAGCTTTTTTTTTTTTTTTTAACCAGTCCCAACAGTAAAGGGAAAAGAAGCCAAGAGAAGGAACTGCTTCAGCCTTACTACAGATGTTTATCTGTAATGCTTGTAACATCTAATCAGCTGAACTCCATCTGTTGTGTGTCACTCTCCTCCTGCTCACGAGACAGAGCAGTCAGCAATGGAGCTAATCTCAAACAACAACTGAAAAGTATCGGGAAACCTGACTTTCAGGAGCTGCTCACAAACTCCTCAACTCCTAACTGAAGTTCTAAGAAAGTCCCATCAGCCCTGATGACAAGAGTGTTCTGGGAGGTGAGAAATGGAGAAAACCCCATGACACACATTTTCTGTTTCCTTGGCAGAGACAGGAGAGCACAGATAGCATCTTCCAAATGCCTCCACAGCACGGCTGCATCTCATGAAACAATTTCACAACGCTGCACAGCGCATCTGCTCCACAACGAGCCACACACAAGCAAAGAAACAAAGCCAAAGCAACACAACTGAAAGACCAGAAGCAGTAATTTCAAGACAGCCGACAGCGGGCTGAACCTCAACCGTAGGAAGCCCCAAAAAGGAAGACACAAGAAGTTGCCAACAGCTCCAGCCCTCACCCACGAGTGCAGCTTTTGCTGGGAGAAGCACGGGGACACGAACAGGGGGCGACGAGGGGAAGCTGGCAAGCAGCAGAGCGCAACGGGCACGGCAGAGCTCCAGCAGCTCAGCTCACTCACCGGCCGGGCCTGAGGGCTCAAGTAAGGCTCGAAGTCGTCGTCGTTCAGCCCATCCTTCTGATGCACGGAGCCGTTTTGCACTGAGGAAGAGATGCGCGGCGTTAGGAAGCGCTCAACAAGCAGCAACACGACCGACCGCCTCCTCCTCCTCCGGGCCGGCCCCGGGACCGCGCTGTGCCACCACACGGCGGGCAAAGCCAAGCCAAGCTCTCCTCCGCACACAAACTCTCCCCGTGAGCACTTTTAAGGTGTTTTCTTGTTGTTGTTTTTTAACGTTATTTTCTCGGCCCTTTTCCCGGCTCTGCTCCCCCCGCGCCCATCCGCACCGCCCGGCCCCGTCTCACCTTTGTTGCCTTGGCCTTTGGGTCTCTGCGGAGGCGGCATGGAAAGAGAAGGGAGAGCGGTGAGTGAGGGGAGGGGCGGCCGCAGTCGGCGGGAAGGGAAGGAAGGGGAGGAAGGCCCGGCCCGGCCCGCGCCCCGCAGCTAGGCCTCAGCCGCGGCCTCGCCTAGCGGGCCAGGCCCGGAGCCACCGAGGGGAGGCCGGGGGGCGGCGGCGAGGCCCCTACCTGCTCCAGGAGGCTGCTGGCCGACATGGCTCCGCGGCGGAGCGGCTGCTGCCGGGGCGGGGCGGGGCGGGGCGGCGGGCGGCAGTGGCGGCTTTGTCCGGGAGCGGGCGCGGCGCGGCTGCTTGGCGGACTCCGACTCGCCCGCGGCGGCTGCCTGGTTGAGGCGACGCTCTAGCCCGCTCCCCCCGCCTCGCCTCTCCTTCCGGCCCGCGTCTATGGCCCAGGCCCGCCGCCTCGCGCCCACACGCGCTCCCCGGGCGTCACGCGGCACCGCGCGCGCGCCGCGCTCCCAGGCACAATGGCGTGGGGGGGGGGGGGAAGGAGAGCGGGCGCGGCGCATGCCGGGCGGGAGGAGGACCGGCACAGCGCCCCCTCGTGGATGGGCGGGGGAGAGCGCGCCGTGCGGTGCGAGGCGCTCTTAAAGGGCCACGCACGCCATGAAGGGATGCGCTTTGCCAGCCCCAAAGCAGCAAATCCCAAATCCTGCTACAGACATCTCTCTCGGGTCCAGCGATTCATCACCCTATGATTTAAATTCCCTGAGCTCACTCCATCCCTACTCCGGAATGTGCAAGGGTTGCCCCCCACTCAATGCCCTCAGCCCCGCTCCTGCAGCAACCCAAGTTTCCGGGGGGAGGGAGGAAGGCAGTGATGGGGGGCCACGGTGGGGCCTTGGTGCAGGGTTAAGGGGGTGTGAGACTGCATGCAGAGCCCCTGAAAACTCAGTGCAGCAACTGCACCCACAGTGATGGGTTGCACCTGCAGCACACACAGACCCTGCGCCCCTCCTGCCAGATAGGGGCCCCGAAGCCCCATAGAGGAACCCAGTCCCTCTCCCCTCCCCAGCCCGAGGAGCTTCTGCACCTGCAGCTCTGTAAAGAGTAGTGCAAACTCTGCACTACTGCTGCCTCCAAACAAACCACCTGAGCCCGGTGCCGTTTTTCCTTTTAATGCAAAAAATAGCCAAACACATCTTCCTCCCCCCTCCCCCCGCCCTCCCCAGGTGTGTTTCCTTCGCTGTTGTTTTGCTTCATTCACATTTCCAACCAAACAGCTCCCCTCACCCCCCCCATCCAATCCCCCAGCTATCCCTATTGCCTTCTGCTGGGAAGAGGAGGGAGGAGGGACCGCAGAGGTGCACGCACTGTCCTGGCGACGCACCGCTCCTAATCCTGCAGAGAGATTATAGGAAAAAAAATAATAATAATACAAAAATAAAACCACCAAACGAGTAGCAACAAGCACGGAGCGGCCCCAGCACGGAGTGTAAACGGGACCGCCCCGATCCGATCCGGAGGCCGGCGCTCCTGGAAAGCGACAGCACGACATGCTTTGCACGCCCCACCGTGGGGAGGCTGTGGTTTTAAGCTTGAGTTGTTCTTTTTGCCTTTAAGCAAGTGAAGTGATCGGAAGTCTCCAAGCAGTGTGTGTAGCACCGAGCTCAGCCAGGCGGGGAGAGGGAAGGGCAGAAGTGCTGCGGGGAGAGAAGTGCAACCCAGAGCGGGACCGGGGCTCTGCAGCTGGCGAATGTGGGCATGGGAAGGGAAAGCAAATACAAAAAAATAGAGATATAAAAACAACGTGTGTGGAGGAAAACACAGGCAGCGAAGTCAGGATTCCTGTCTTCTTCCCCCAAGCAAAAATAATAATAAAATAATAATAATAATAATTAAAAAAAAAAAAAATCCCAGCTGAGGTGACAGTGAAAAGTCCAAAAGAATTCCCTTCCCTGGGCAAAAATAAAAATACAAATGAGGTACCTGTGCCACCCCTTCCCGCAGTGCCACCAGCACTCAGCCACTGGCTATTGTCTCTGTGACACGGAACCATCGGGCTGCAGCAGCCCTGGGGCAGAAGCACCACGCTCCCAGCACCGGGAGCCCTGTCCCATCCCTCCCGGTGGGGTTTTCAGCAGAGATCCAGTCTCTCCACGACCCTACAAACAGGCAGTAATGTTCAGTGCTCCGTGGAGGTGGAGCCTTTTCCAGGTCTCACGCGTTTCTCCAGCTTTTTTTTGTTTAAAAAAAAAAAATTATATATATATATATATATAATATATACAGTACAATGAAAAAATATCCATGGAAACAAATGGGGCGGCTGGAAAGTATGCTGAACAACAACAAAAAGCCCAAAATGAAACAGATTCCCAACTCTTTCCCGAGCTGACGCTCGCTTTTCCCACTAGTCCTCCAAAACCACGATCTCCACGTTATGCACGTGGTGCTGGTGGTCCTCCACATCTCCTACCACTTTCTCCTCAGTTCTCAGCTCTGTTTCCAGGATCACAGCTTTGCCCTCTGACTCATCTGCATCCGCCTCGGGGTCGGGCGCCGGGTCGATCTCAATGATGGTCTGCCCGTCGTCTGAGGTGCCTTCCACAGCCTGGATGGTGGAGGTGAGGCCGGATTCCATGGCCACCAGTTCCACGGGGTTGACCACGGCCGCCACGTTGGCCAGGGCACCTCCATCCTGCATGGCAGCAGAGCTCAGCAGTGCCAGGCTGGAGGACGGATGGAGGGTGACGGTGTCGGAGGAGCTGGTCTTAGAGGAGGACACCACGGTGGCGTATCGAAAGAGCTGAGAGCCTGAAGGCAAAGTGTGGACAGTCACCGGGCTGGAGCCTTGGCTGATGGTCGCCACGGGGATGTTGCCCACTGAGAACTGCTGGCCGACGGGAGCGATGGCGATGGGAGAGATGACCGTGAACTGAGGCTGCTGGATGGGGGTCGAGGGGCTGAGGACGGTGGCAGAGGCCGGGCGCTGCAGGCGGGGTCGTTTGGGGGGCTTTGGAGCACTGACGGGCATCAGCACCACGTTCTGGATGGTTTGGGACTTGGCCTTCTGGTCCTTGGCGAGTTTCTTCTGCTCTTCCAGCTGCCGTTCCAGGTCTGCAAAGAGAACGGGGAAGCTGTGCGTGGGGCTGGGAGCAGCAGGCTGTGAGTGCTCCGAGGGGCTCCACCAACAGCCAGCCTGCCCCAAGGAGGAGCAGGCACTGCTCCGCACTGCTCAGCTACTCCCACTGCCAAAAGGACAGGCACTTCTGTCTCCAGGGGAAACCCACCCATGGGGAATGGACAGCCCCTCCAGGCAGCAGGAACTGGTGACTGAGCACGGCTGGGTCCCCCAGAAGCCAAGCCCTGTGCCTGGAACAAGGAGCAGAGCTCAGACATCCTCCTCCACCCTCATCCGTATCACCATTAGAAGCCAAAAGCAGCACAGTAATTTCATTTATCCAGGGCAGTAGGGGACTAGAACACCGCAGATAAGTCCTACAGGACACAGACAGGAGGGAGACACATCCACCAAGCAGCTCTGGGGAATCCAGGTCAGGTTATTGGCTTCAGCTCAGGGGAGACACCGGATAGCTCCACGGCGAGACAGCAGACAGCTCAGCACCACACAGACAAAGAGTTTTATGAGCTTGGGTGCAGCACTGCACTGCCTGCGGCTCAGATGACTGCAGCACAGCTCACAGCTAGCAGCAGCACCTATCTGCTAATGCCAGCTGAATCAGATGGTGCTTTGGGGTGCTGAATGCCCTGAGCACCTCATCTCTCCTAGGAAAGGATACGTGAAATTCCACTCAAGCCTTAGGATGGAAAGGGGTTGGTTGGGGTACATCTGTTTGAGGGCCACGTGGATTGAACAAGGATGCAAATAGAGTTTGTTAGGTGCTGTGTTGAGGAAAGGTCACATTGGTTCCCAAGGGTGGGATGAGAAGCCAGGGCACTGACTCTACCTGCAAGTGTGTAAAGAAACTGTTCTTCTCCTTGCTCTGTCTGGTTTTTCCTGTTGTCCAGAACCTTCTTGACTGTGTCCATCAGGCCAAACGTGTGAGCAACGTTGTTTAAAACTGCAGCATCTGCAAGGAAAGCACAGGGGAATGAGTGCCTGATCCCACAGGGGGCCAAGGGCCTCAGTCAGGAACTCAAAAGGTGCTGTGATCAAAGCAAGAATTTTCTGCTGCTTTTTGTAAACCATTTCTGTTCTTCCACATGTGCTGGCTGACAAGGGCAGAGCCATCTCTCCTTCGTCCTTCAGACATCCAAGGACTAAATAAATTCATTCACATGATAATGAAAAGGAAACAGAGATGTGTCACCCAAGCAGCTCAAAATTGCTGCAAAGTGAAAGCATAATTTGCAATCACACAGATACAAACCAGATCTCCACCTACAAACCATCACCCCATGCAGCTGACGGTGTCATTAATGTGCCAGCTCCACCAAAAGCTGTGCTAAATTCCTATTATAATCCACTGACTTCAACCACTCACAGCTTCCAAAAGCTGCCACCTACCTGACACAAAGATTCACCAGCCCAAAGCTATATGAGAAGCAAAAAAAACACCTTGGGTAAAATGAAGTTTGAGGTTGCATGGGTGTTCTGCTAGAGCATCCACAGGCCGTGCTGCCAACCCTGTGCTCACAGGGCCACGAGCTGAACTGGATAAGGGAACGGATCCAAGTCAGAAATAAGCCTCAAAAGGGGAGGGAAGCTATTTTGAACCTGTGCCCTCATCTGGTTCAGCCCCAAAACAAGATTTTTTGGCACAGGTGAGGATGGAACAAGAAGTGAGACTGCAAGACCTATTTAAATTCACAGTCATGAAGAAAAGTGTTTGAGTAACCCCAGCCCAAGCAGCACATCCAGGCAGGCTTTAACAAGCACCTGGAGCTGAGGACAGTCATCCAATGGGCTCCTCAAGCTGCCAGTCAGCATGCTGCAGGAGCAGGGCAGCACGTTGAGTCCTTCTGCCTCGCAGTGGGGTAAATGAATGCACCCCTCATGGTTGGGAAGGCTGAAACCATGCTCAGGCTCAGCTTACAGAGCCCAGCCGGCAGGAAGGAACTCACCATCCTGACTCAATAGCTCTACATGCCTTGGCTGGACTCTTTCACTGGTTTTCCTGCAGCTCCCTTTCGAGCATTCTTCCCCATGATGAGGCTCTGGCTCATCACCTACCTGTCATCTGGAAGGGAGATTGCCCCAGCCTCTGCTGGACACCTCTCAGCACTTCTTCTATCTCCTTCTGGATGTTGCACACAACCTCTTCCATCAACCCCACATCAGCTATTCCCTTCCAGAACATCAGCGTGTCCTCTGGCACAGAGAGAAGGCAGAAGTCAAACATACAAGGAGTTGGCATTTCCCCACAGGACCACCTTAAACCTATGCCATGTGCAGCAAGCTTTTTGGCAAGAATAACTTTGCAAAATGACTTCTAATTTGGCCATTTGGGGTGGACAGATCCAGGAAGCAATTCAGTAACACGTTTTCAAACGGCACCATGACCTCCAAGGCAACGTTTCGTTGCTTCTATTCATCTTCCCAAGATGCAGAGCTTAAAATCTTTTGAGGAAATTCCTCCTCTGCTTCTGTACTGATCCTGAGAGGGAGAGCAAAGCGCTGCAGCCAGAGAAGCCAAGAGAGCTGACAGGGTACTAACAAGACTCTGCTCGCTGATGGTTGCAGTCAGGCTCTGGGCTGGCAGACATTTACGTCCTCTAAATGAACAAAAACCCCACAGTCCTCACTGTAACTGATAGCAACCGATCTGAGGGATCAGCCCCAAGGTCGAGGCTGAAGTTCCACACTGCCTGCACGTGGCTGGGAGCTCTGCTTGGCAGGGAGTTCTGGGATGGCCAAGGGGCAGTGGGACAGCTCCAGCACTACCTCAGCTCTCCTTATTTCCAGGATTTTCACCTTCAAAAGGAGAGCAGAGGGAGAGAAAACACCCGAGGAGCAGCCAGAGTTACCTGAGATCTCATCCGTGTCCTTTTTCATGCCCTCCTCAGTGGCCATGGTGACAGCAGCTGTCAGAGCAGAGTTCCACTCGATCCCCTCCTCCATGCTTTCCTCGGACAGTGCGATCTGGGTGATGCTCCCTGCCAAACAGGCAACATCAGCCCTCTCTGCAGCACCAGCCTGGAATCCCTGCTTGGCATTCCGCTCCCCTGCCCTTCTCAGGCTCCTTTTCACTCTCTTGGTCAGGTTGGTTCTGCCTGGCCTCTTTCAAACAAATCAGCTACAAGCAAGTAATGCTGTTTCTCATTGGAAGTACGATTGTGAAAGGCTCTGGGGCTTCTGGAGGGAAAACCACGTGCCCCAAAAAAACAAACTGGAGCTTTTGTAATAAAGGAAAGGGATCAGAATAGAGAGACAGAGAGCAAGTCTCAGCCCAGCCACCTTTCCCCTTCTGCATCACCAATAGAGTGCTCTGCACCTCAGACATGCCCTTATCTCTTAGGAAATGACACAGCCTGAGTCCACGCCAGTTCATACACATGAAATGTATCCAACTTGATCTTAAGCTTTTGGATCAAATTTCGGACACCTAAGGCAATATCCAGCCACTGCGATGTTTTCTCATGTGCTCACAGAGCTTTCCAGGAGATCTTCCCTAGCTTACAGACAAGTCTGCCATCCCACCCCCCCACAGCCTTATTAAAAAGTCACCCACCCAGATGAACAATGTGGTATTCTTCTCCTTTGACCTCTGCAAAGAGATCATTTCCTGTTGCAAAGCATGTGATTAGCTGAGAATCTGTAGCTGGAATGGCAGTCAAATCAAGCCTTCAGCCACTGTACTCTATTTGCTGAGCTCCAGGTGATGTGGAACAGGCTGCCTGGAGTCATTAGCATTATCCCATGCCATGGCTTTGTTAGAGAGCCTACCATCAGCTGAGGTTGGGGTCTGCACCACGCTCTGCTGCCCTGGCATCGGTGCTCTGGCGCTGCTGATGAGGAGATCAAACTTGGTGCTTCGGCAGGTGTTGGTGCAAACCTTGTCATGCTGGTAGAAGTCGATCTGTCCCGAGTCCATCATCTTCCTGTGCAGGGAGTGGGAGAGAATCAGACTCAGCTAAAAGCTCAGATTGGAGATGAAAGGGAGTTTTCCACTTTGGCCACGGGAAAGATGGAGAAAGGGGAACCCCGTGCCATTCTTCCACACAGAACTGCACAGCTTTCAGATGGGATGCACAAACCAACCCCCAGCTTCACACACATCTCCAGCCATCCCCCTCCCACCCCCGCTTCCCCCAGGCGAGGCTGTTACTACTCAGGATGAAGAATCCTGCCCTGTAGAGCACGATCTCTCCCCCAGAGATGCTGCAGGGAACAAGAGCCCCCAGGAGGTTTCCTGACAAAGTTCCTGCTTGGGATCCTGCAATTGTGCACAGTGGTGCAAGTCACCTCAGCATGATTCCTCCGAGACGGATAGCCCTCTTCCAGTCCTTTAGGGTAGACTTCCCAGCCAGGTGAACAAAATGCTTCGGGCTGATCAGTTGGTCATTGAACTGACAATGAGATAAAAAAAAAGCTCAGCAAACTCATGGTAGCATTGCTTCAGAAAACTGTGGACATATAACTACAGCCAGTCCAGTTCATCTAAGCCCTTACTTCTGCTCAGAAAGAGAAGCTGCTTTCAATTCTTACCAGTTTTGAATGCCTAAACACATCAATGATTCTAACTCCATGTTTGTGAGGACAGCCTGCCAGTCATTGGCATTCAAACCACACAGCCCAAGCCAGGAACAGCCCTGCAGGCTTTTGTACAGAGCATGAACCAAATGGTCTCCTTCTGTGAGAACACACAGTCATCTCAGAGATTGTTATGGGAGCTGCCTACGAAATCAAATCAACCAGCAGACACTTGGTATTCGCTTGGGCATCTGTTCCATCCTATTCCAGCACCTGAGCTCCTGGAGAGGGTCAGCCCTGGACTGCTGTCACTGCAGAGCCCTGTGACTCAGCCTCGGTGCATCAGCTGTTATGTGAGCACACTGTCAAATGGGGAAAGGTAGCAGCACGATTCCTCTTCTTGGTGCAGCCTGCTCACTGAGGAGCTGACAGGAGTGGAGTATCAGGGCACCAAGGGAAAGAAACAAGGAAGAAAAGCTCTGGCAGATCTCACTACGCATTCCTGCCTTCAGCTCCAAGTCCCTCAACGAGAGCCAAATACAACTCTGCTTTAAGCAGTAGCCAAGAAATATGAAGTGAACGAGACCTTCACCCCTTATCCCTCTCTTTCTCTCCTTCTGCTCATGCTAAAAACAACTTTAGCACCAACAATCCAGCACACTGCAAAGGTAAAGTCGCTCAGCTCCAAGGCTCAGATGAAAAACAAACAGTAAGGAAGTGCTGTGGAGATTCAGTGCCAGTCCTGGAGAGCAGAGAAGGAATCTGCTGTGAAAACTCCATTACCTTCACACACTTGACATTAATTCCTGGACAGACAAACTTCTTCCAGAGCAGGATGGCTTTGCTCTCCCCGCAGGTGATGGGATAGGCAATCTCAATTTCCTCGTTTGTTTCAATGGTGCTGGGGTCTGAGGGAAGAAAGGGACAGATGAAACTTGCCACCCGAGAGGCTCAAAGCCCACACATCGAGAGCTGAAAGCCCACAGGCTGAGAGACCTACGCTCTTGTGACCAAAAGAAGGGACATTCCTAGCTCAGGATCAGTCCTGTTTTAGCCTTCTCCTGTTGCTCTAACAGCAAGTGACATCTGCTTTTTAATACAAAAAGGAAGCTCGTCTATTTGGAAAAAGTGGGATCACATCTGTAAGGGGAAGGTCAGCGAGAACAACCATATGGAAAAAAACGCTCCAAAATCTGAAACACGCATCTCACAGACCTCTTGGAGCCCTGGTTTCTCTAGCAGAGCCATCAGCTACGTGCTCATCAGAAGTTCTCCACTGCCAGATTTTGCTAACGCTGCCAGAAGAGCCGCAGCCACACAGGAAGCACAACAGCAGTGAAGATCCAGCACCGAAGGCCAGGGGGCTTTTTCCCACTGCTCCTCGGGAGGGCAGGGTGCACACAGAGCCTCTTTAGAACGCTCAACCCAAACCTGTACAAGTATTTGTTCTGCAAAGCACAGCAATCAGAGCGCAGTGCAGACACAGCCACTACCCTGACAGCCCTCATCCCAGCTGCTAGAATCTGCACAGAGGCTACAGCAACATCTTGGCTCCCCGTGACCCCATGGGAGCCCTTACCAAGCACTGCAAGATAGCCAGGATCTCAGCTCCAAGGCCAAGCAGTAACAGCTCTCTTATTCCAGAGCGTGCCCAGACCCTGCACCCACATCCACAACAAGAGCCTAGGGAACACCATCTGCAAGGGCAGAGCCAGAGGGAAGCCCCACGAAGCAGGGACACCCTCTCAGCCCTGCAAAGCAGGGATTGTCCCACGCCACGCAGCCACTCACCGATCCCTTCCTCTAGTTTGTGTATGGTGTGCGTTTCCACGGCCACAACAGCAGCACTTGCCTCTGAGCCCTCCTGGTAAATCCTGTTGGGAGAGCATCCATGGATAAACAAGTTATTCAGATCATGGGAATTTAAGATTCGTGGAAAATTAAGATTCATGGCGCAGGGCTAAAAATCTGGCTTGTTTCTTTCCTCGAGGGACGTGCATTCTGTGCTTGATGCGGATTCAATCACAGTCATTTTTTGGCACAAAGGCACGATGACAGTCCCAGGGACCGACACAGGCAGAGGCGCTGCCAGCACCACTGCCACAGCCCTGCAGGACGCTTCCCTCAGCCTTTTCCTTTGATTCCTGACACAAGCAGTTACCACAACAACAGGAAGCAGAGCTCAATGGTCCAGGATTTCCCCTCCAACCCTGTGTGACATTCTGTAGCATCGGTGACTTCCCCCGGGGATCACACAGGGCTGCTGTCAGTCCCACAGCAACCCTGTTTTGCATATACTGCCAAACCAGATCCGTGTATTTCCATCCTATAGGAAGAAGTGCCTGCTGGCAGCTGCTTTAGAGTGCTGCAAGATTCCCCCCGACACCCTGGCATCATTGCATTTGAGAGGATCAATAAAAACCAGCACAGAGGTGCATGCAGATTTGCAGGGCACAGTCAACCAGCTGCAATGCTGCAAAATCCCACCTGGAGCTGAGAAAGGGTGACAGGAAAGGACAGACACGGGGCTGGGCTGCCCCACGCCCGCTCCCCACTGCCAAAGCCATGCAGCTGCAGTACGCAGGGGTGGCACCGTGCAGCCGCGTCTCTGCAGGACGACTTCAGCCCTCGGAGGCTCTGCAGTGCTCATACACAAAAACCCTTTTTGAGTTACGCCTGGTGAGGCTGCAGATGGTTTATTCCCCTCCGTTATCGGCACGGAGCTGGAAAATGCATCAAATTGCAGCCCCCCCCTCTTAAGCGCCCCCCCTAAACCCCAACCATCACCACGCCGGCGCTTGACTCACCCCTGCTGCACCGGCTGGAGCTGAAGGATCACTTGGGTTTTGGTATCCTCCGGGTTCTCCCCTTCGTTGTTGTCACTTGGTACAACCACCACATCACCCACCGGGACGCTCACTTCGGCATTCGCCATCTCTCACATGAAGCCCACCAGCGGGGGGCAAGCAGAAGGGGGGGCTGGACTGCAGCAGCCTCCCGAGCACCACCGCCTGTGTGCCAAGGGGGAAAAACCCTGTAAGCATCATCCCCGGTTCCCACCGCGGCACACGGCGTGGCTCCGAGCTGGCGGAGCAGCCTGAAGAATGGAAGCAGGCGTTTTAAATTCACCACCAGAGAGACAGCAGGTGCCTGTCAATGCACGCGAGGATTTCTCCCCGCCTGTCGAGCACCATTGCTGGGATCATCGCATCCGGCAGCACCGTGCAGTCAGGCGGCCACTAAAGCAGAACTTCCCCAGCTAGGGAACAGCCCAGCCCCGCAAACCGCACGTGAGGTTCTGGCAGCGGTACGGGAAGGACAAACCCCAGGGCCGGGCTTCTCCTGCAGGGAAACGCTCGGAGCATCGTGCCGGGACGGCCCCCGCTGCGGGTTGGAGCGGTGCGGATGTTGGCTGTGTTCTTACAGACTGCTTCACAGCAAAGCACAAAGGTGGTTTTGTTGCAGCGGGAGCAGCTCGGCCCCGCGCACCCGGCTCAGAGCCGCGTCCCACCGTCCAGCCCCACTCCCTCGCGGGAGGGGCAGCGTTCCCTCCGCAGCCCCCAACACCACGAGCGACGCGTCGCAGCTCGGGGCCACGCGGGGCCAAACCCGATCCGCACCGAGGAGGCGAGGACGAACGCAGGGCGCGCTGCGGCTCCGCGCCGCGACACGAGGGCAGGCGGGGACGCCACCCTCGGGACCCCTCAGCGCCCAGCCCGCCCAAACCAGGGGGGGGGGCTCAGAGAGCCCGGGGACCCCCCGCGGCCACACATGGCCGAGCCCTCCGTGCCGCCCCCCCCCCGGGGGCGAGGTAACCCCGGTAACCCCGGGCCCGCTGCAAACGGCGGCGGCCCTCAGCTCGGGGCTGGGGGCTGGGGGGCAACGCGCGGACGCAGCGGGGCGTGGCCGCCCGCGGGAGGGGCGTGGCCTCGCCCCCCCTTCTCTCCCCCCCAACCCCCCCGCAGGCGGACGCAGCGGCGCAATTCCCCCCCCCCCCCCTCCACCCCCCCGCGGCGCGCGGCGCCCGCCCTCGCGCCGGCGGCGGCACGTACGGCGCGACGCACGCGCCCCCGCCCCGCCCCGTCGCGCCGCCGCCGCCTCTGCCGTCGCGTGGCCCCTCCCGGCTCCCGTAGCGTCGCCGCCGGGTCGGCCCTTACCGTCGTCGCCCGAGCGGCCGAGTCCGGGGGCTGGGAGCCGAGGGGGGGAGGGGTGGGGGAAGCGGGGCCGGGCAGAGGGGAGCATGCGCACTGAGCGCCGCGGCCTCGGCCGCCAGCACTTCCGGCCGCCGCCTGTCTTAAAGGGGCCGCGCCGCCTCGAGCCGAGCGAGGCTCTCGGCCGCCCCCAACCGGCGGGATGCCCGCTCTGCTCCGTCCGAGTGGCGCCGAAGCTAGCCAATGGCGGCGCGGGGCTGGAGGGCAGCGGCCAATAGGAGCGAGGGGGCGGGGCGAGGCGGCCGGTGGCGGCGGCGGCGGTGGCGGCGGCGCCGGGAGGATGCGGGCGGGCGGAGGGGCGCGGGCGCTGCTCGTGCTGCTGCTGCCCCGCTGCCTTCTGATGGGAGCGCGCCCGGCCGCGGGGCAGCACGGTGAGTGCGGGCGGGAGCGGAGGCAGAACCGGGATGGACTCCCGGCGGTGCCGTCCCGCAACGGCTTCGATGTCGGTGCCGGCGATCCCGCCGTACTTTGGGGTTTCTTTCTTTGGGGGTGGCCCGTCGGTGTCTCCACTGAGATCCCCCATTGATGCTCCTGTTGAGGTCGGGTTCGGGGTTTACTTTTTGGGAGGTGACCCATTGACGTCCCCGTTGATGTCTCCATTCATATTGCGTTCGGGGTTTACTTTTTTGGGGGGTGACCCATTGACGTTCTCCATTGATGGCGTTGCCCTTGCAGCCCCCCTTTCCCACCCTCCCTGCCCCGCATCCCATCCGGTGCTCCCGCTTTGGCCGCCTTCCCGTCCCGTCCCGTCCTGCAGTTTCGCCTCCGCGCAGGATTTGGCACGGCTGAGGGTTTGGGGTTTCGTTTCCCAGCAGATGAGCGGTGTCCTCCCCCCCCCTCCCCACAGAGCCCTTGGGGGGCTCAGCGCTGCTCCCCCCATCCTCGTACCCTAGAGGTGCTGTCCCCCCCACACGCACATGGCAACACACAGAGCAGACTTTGCCCGGGGTCTCCGTGCTGCTGTGAGCTTTGGAGCCCCATCCAGACATGGCTTTGTCCATTTCTGGGGCAGGAACTGAGCGCTTTGGTTGACACGACCCAGTGAAAACCCCTCTAACGCTTTTGTATCTGGATTTTGGGGGTATTCTGCCATGTAAAGCCCCTTTGTGGCGGGTGTCACTTTGAGGACACGAGGGACACAGTGGTGGCTGGGCGCTGTACAGCCCTATGGGGTTATTTCCCCCAGATCCCCCCCAAATCAGGGTCCTAAAAGTAAAGGGGTGGCACAATGATGTCTGCAGAAGGGAAACTGGGGCTGTCGTGGTCTTGGGGGCCATCCTCAGAGAGGTTTGAAAAAGGACCCATATCCCTATGGGGCAGCGCAGCATGGGGAAACTGAGGCACGGAGAACAACCCCACTCCTTTGCCTTCATTTAGGGGACGGCTGTGGCCACACAGTGCTGACAGCACAGAGTGGGACGCTGAGCTCCAGGAACTACCCCGGCACGTACCCCAACCACACGGCGTGCCATTGGCAGCTGCGGGCCCCCCCAGGCACCTCCCTCATCGTGGCCTTTGGGGACGTCGACTTGGAGTCCTCGGAGCACTGCACCCACAGCTCCCTGCTGCTGGCCGACCCTGAGAGAGGCACTGCTTATGGTAAGGGGGAAACTGAGGCAGCACAGAGGGGTGCAGATCGCGTTACATAAAGCCTTCGCTAAGGAGGGGATCAGGGGAAATCCGGCTTTTTAGCTGATTTCATCCTGAGGAGGATTGGGGGGGGGGGGGGGGGATAGAGATAGCCAAGGCGACCCAGATGGGAGCAGATGCAGCTGCTGATTAAGTAACTTTGCCCAAACGTTTCCAGGATTTTCCTGGAGAGATTGAACAATTTGACAGCACCCCGTGGGGAAACATTTCCAGGGGGGAGAAGTGGCAGTAAGGTGGGACGGCCCCAATGGGACGGGATGGGATTGCAGAGGGGGGGTCAGCCACGCGGCCCCATTCCCAGCAGCACGCTGCCCACCCACCCAGCGTTCCGGACCCCCAGCCTCTTTCAGTGCCTTTGCCATTGGGATGGGGCCAGGCAGGGTCCCACCAGTATCTGAGTGATCTGAGTGATCCCAGCTGGTTGTCGGGAAGTGGCTGACTCAGAGCCGGCTCCTGGCGCCCAACCAGCATCACAGCCTGACCCCGCTGCCCTCCCCTCGGGGACATGCTGGGGTCCTGGGGACCGTCCCCATCCCTGGGACAACAGCAGTGCTGCTGGGAGCATCTCTGGGCGCCTGGAGATGGAAGCAATGCAGAGCAGCAGCACAGCCTGTCCTGTTGTGCCCTCCGTCCATCGGGAAGGGTGGACAAAGAGAGGTGACACCTCTTGTCCCCAGGGATACCTCTTGTCCCCATCTAGGCCTAGGGATGTCCCCAAGGAACCCATCTTCCCCGCTAAGCTGAAGTTTTAATCAGAGAGATGGAGACTGCAAATCAATTTGGATTAAATGGGTCGCTGCTCTGGGGGATTTAGGAGAAAGCTTTGGTGGCTCCTGTGGAAGGGGGACGGGTGGCAGTGGGGAGGGGATGTGGACCCATTCTGCAGCCCAACCGTGCGTGCCAGACCCACAGCCATTGCCTCAACAAGGGCTGCTGGCCCCACGGCTGCTTGCTTCATCCCAGCTGGGTGCAATTAAGAAGCTCTTAGGAGAAGTTTGCCGGGAAGCAGCAGGAGATGACCCAGCTGGAAGACGTGACGTCAGCACATTGTCACTTTGTGGCTGTGGGGACATTGATGGGGCCACCCTGAGCATCCTTCCCAGCACACACATCCGGGGAGGTGAAGCCCTCAATCCGGGTCCCTGTGTCCGCTCTCAGGGACCCCAGTCCTCCCCAAAGCCCCATCCCTCCTGCAGGGCCCTACTGCAGGAATGCTGTCCCTGCCGCCCCGCTGCTGGTCACCAACTCCAGTGCCATCACCGTCCTGTTCAACAGCACCAGCCATCGCTCAGGACGAGGCCTCCTCCTGTCCTATGCCAGCTCACAGCACCCAGGTAGGGAAGGGGGTTGTTCCTTGAAGGTGCTGAACCCCCTTGGCTGTGTCCCTGTCTGTATCAGGGGCACAGATAGGGGTGCAGGGAGGTCAGTGCTCACCCCAGCGTGGCTCTCATCGCCCCCAGCCCCCTATAGCCCCCATTTTCCTTGCCTGAAAGCTGTGGATGTGAGAGAGGGAATGGCAGGGAACTGGGAACCCTCAGACTTGGCGCCCCCAGGACAGCTGGGGCCACAATATCAAGCTCTGCTGCAGACAGCACTGTGACCAAAGAGACACTGTACCCTGTTCCTGCAGACCCAAGGGGAAAAACCCACCCCTGGAACAGGATTTGGTTGGGAAGGGGACAGAGATGGGGGTGCCCCAGGGAGAGCTGGGTGCTGTGGGGGTCCCACGCAGCCCCTCACCCTGGGGCATCCCTGCCTTGCAGACCTGATCTCCTGCTTGGTCAGAGGTACCCACTTCTCCCAGGAGCACGTCAGGTGAGCAGCTGGCCCACCAGCAGCCTGTCTGAGCAGACCACAGCCCAGCATCACTACCTGTCTCCATCAGTCCTTTCCCCATCCCAATCATCCCGTACATTTCAGTGTGTACTGCCCTGCTGGCTGCAAGGACATCGAGGGGGACATCTGGGGCAGCACGAAGGACGGCTACCGGGATGTACGTACAGAGCCCTGCTCTCCTGGGAGGCGTCCCCTGTGGGTGCCCTGCTGGGGACTGTCCCCAACAGGTGGCTGTCTGTCACCCTGCCACCTCCATCCTGCTGCCAGTAGGTGGAGGGAGGACAGGTTCACCTTGGGGGGGGGGCTGGCTGCTCTGACCCCACGCTCCCTGCAGACCTCAGTGCTGTGCAAGGCAGCTGTGCACGCCGGGGTGGTCGCTGATGAGGCGGGTGGGCAGGTCACCCTGACCCGTGAGAAGGGGATCACGCTCTACGAGTCGGCCTTCGCCAATGGGCTGCACTCCAAAAGGTGGGCAAAGGGGTCCCAGCTGCCACCCCCTCAGTGTCACAGCCCCCCAGCTGGGTTTTGCTGGGTCTTTGCCCTACAGGACCATTCCTGACATCCCCCCCCTTCCCTTCTCGCAGGGGCTCCCTCTCTGAGAAGCGTCTCCTGTTCCATAAAGGTATTTTCCCATGCATTCAGCCATCATTTTGGCTGCACGAGGAGGCCGTGCTGCTGTCCAGGTCCCCAGCTGTCACCTCACCTTGCAGCCTGCAGCGATGCCCTGGAGGTGGCCGCCTTCAACGCCTCATCCTGGTGGCAGGAGGTGGACACGCTGGGGCAGGAGCGGAGCTGGGCAGCTGAGCGGGCAGCCCTGGGCACCCCCAGCCCCTCCTGGGCAGCCGAACCCAGCACCGACACTGCCTGGCTGGAGCTGGACCTGGGCACCCGCAGGAATGTCACAGGTCAGCTGGTGGATGGGGCTGGTTGTTGTCCCCATGCCGCCTGGATCACTGCTCAGTTGGGTTGTCTGTCACCTGTCCAAACTGCCCAAAGAGGCTGCAGATCCCCTTCCCCCCCCCCCAACCTGTGACTCCCAGGAGAGTTTGGGGGCTCCTCGTGCCACCCCCTGCTCTGGTTGTACTGGTGCAGATTGGGATCCGGACAGCATCGGTCCTTCGTGGCTTTTTCCTGTCCCCATTTTCTTCCTTCCCCGCTGCAGCCATTTCTGGGATGAACAAGTCAATATTATGCTCTTGCATCTGGTGCCAGCGAGCGCCTTTTGTTCAGCCAAACCCGCCGCCAACGGGGGCTTTGTGCAGAGGCCGGCAGGAAGAAAATGGGGACATTGTGAGACCGGGGGCCGGAGGAGGGAGGAATGCAGCCGGGGTTTATCGGCTCCTTGGGGCAGAGTGGAGGATGTGGGTGCCCAGGAAGGAGCTTTGGGGGGGTTGGGGTGGCATAAGGGCGCATCCTGCCCAACAGGGATCATCACAAAGGGATCTGCTGAGATATATGACTTCTACGTGACGTCCTACCGGGTGTCCTCCAGCCGTGATGGGAAGAACTGGAGACCCTACAGGGGCAGCAGTGGCCAGGAGGAGAAGGTGGGCACGGGGGCAGCAGGGTGGGAGCAACCGTCAGCCTGCAGCTCTGCGGCCATCCCTGCCCTCCCCAGTAGGTCTTTGAAGGAAACGTGGACAGCCTCGGGGAGGTCTCCAATGCCTTCATCCCCCCCATCACGACCCGCTACCTGCGCATCACACCCCAGAGCTGGCATCAACGTGCTGCCTTAAAGGTGGCCCTGCTGGGCTGCCAGATGGCACGAGTCCGTGCAGCACGGCCCTATGGTGAGCATCCCTCGTGCCCCCGGGGAGCTCCAGCTCCCAGTGCTCCCAGCACTGACAGCACCCGCTCTGCCCTGCAGTGCCCAGCGTCCCAAAGGAAGTCCCTGCCCACATCCCCATCCCCACCAGCCGCCCGCCTGGCCGCACACCCATCCCTGGCATCGCCCTGGACCCTGAGAAGGCAGGTGGGTGCCACCACACAGGGGCTGATCCTCATCCCGTTGTTGGCTCTGGGCAGTCATTAATTGTGCAGCTCGGCTTACCCAGGGTGGGCTCTCAGCACCCAGGGGAACCAAAGGTGTGGAGGTTTCGGATGGTGGACCCAGGTGCTGATGCTGTTCTCTCTTCCCAGACTCCACACTGCTGGTGATGCTGCTCATCGGCATCTTTGTCCTCCTGTGCTCCAGCCTCCTGCTGCTGGCTTTCCTCTGCCGCAGGAGGAGGTGGGTCCCAGCCTGTCCTCCCCTCCCCACAAATCATGGGGTTTGTGGGGGGCTCTGTTAGGCTGCTGGCTGCATCCTGGTGGATGCCTCTATCACAGGCAGCCCCTCACCCGTGTTGTGCTCTCTCCCCTTGCAGGAAGCCAGCCACCGAGCTGAACTGCGGGCTCACGAAAGGTAACAACCCCCACTCACTGTGGGGGGCTCAGAGAGGTGCTGGGTTCAAGTCAGATGCAGCTGGTTGAAGGCTTGAGCTCAGGCTCCTTCCTGCTCCTCCTCATGTCCCACTCTGGGGGCACCTCCATCCCCAAGGGCACCCAGGGGTGGGGGGAGGCAGGCGTGTGATAAATGGGGGTTTCTGCTCTCTGCCCAGGGCAACCCAAGCTGGAGGCAAGCCAGGTGTGCTCCCTGGGGAGCCTGCCACCCCCCGGATCCACGCTGCCCTCCTTCCCTGTGGTGCTGGGGGACCTCAGCCAGACCCACTCACCAGGTAATGGGAACACAGTGATGGGGCAGAACGGACCCACATCCCTCCCACTGCACCCTGCTCCATCCCCTGCCCGGGATCCCGAACCTTTGCAAAGGGAGAGCCTGGGAGTGCGTGGGCATTAAAGGTGGCCAGAGGGCACTGGAGCAGAGGGAAGTGTGGGGTCTGTGCCCACCCGGGGGTGGACGTGGGGCCACGTCCCTCTGTGGAGCCGTTCCCTCTGCTCCGTCCCCATCTCAGAGCCGCGTTCCCCCGCCGCAGACTACGCCGAGCCGGATGTGGTGCAGGTGAGCCCCAGCGGCCAGTTGGCCTCGTCCACCTTCAAGCCTCCCCCTGACGAGAGCTACACCCTGCCGCTGGTTGTGAGCCACTACGACGTGCCGGGAAAACACCACGAATACGCAGAGCCTCTGCCACCGGAACCCGAATACGCCACACCGTTTGGTGAACCCGAGCACATCGGCACCCGCTGGAACCCCAGCGACACCGCAGGGCTCCCCGCCTCCCCGAGCCGTGCCGGCTCCCCGGGCTCCCCCCCAGCGCGGTACGTTGCCCCCCCGTTGCAGCCGCCTGGGGTGAGCGCGGCCCCCCGGGTGGAGCGGACTGCCAGCCCCCACGGGGAGGGGCTCCCTGCGGAGGGGTCCGACGCTCAGCAGCTCGCAGACTGTCCCTTCTCTCACGTGTACCACGAGGCCTGGTGAGGCGGCAGAGGAGAGCTGCCCACCCTCGGGGATGGAGCCCCGCCCTGGGACCTGGGGGGGTTTTATACCTGAATCCGCACTTTTATTTAAATACATACATATATATATATACATATATATATACATACATGGACGTGAGCTGCTCCGTCAGCTGCTGTGCGAGCGCGCTCACGCACGGCTCAGACTCGGGCAGAAGCTCAGGGCGCGCAGCCGCCATGGGGAACCCAGCCCACAGAGCGCTGCGGCGGCGAGCAGCGCGTGCACGCGGCGCCCCGCCCCCATAGGAGCGCCTACAGCCGCCACGCGGCCGCCCGCCTCCCCTAACGGCACCCCACGTGACCCCCTCCCGTCCTGCTGCTCTTCGCACCGCCACCCCGGGGCGCCAGAACAGGCGGTTACCGGCGGCCCCTCCCACAAAAATTGTGCTTCCGAAATCTCTTGATGTCGATTCCGCGGGGGCGGCCGAAGCCCCCCCGTGCCACGCACGGCAGAAGCCCTTTTTAAAGGCGAGCCTCCGCGCTGCGGCCGCTGGGGAGCAACAGGCTCCTCTCAAGCTCGCGGCGAATCTTGTTGTATTTCTTCAGAAGACAGACCCGTATACGTTATTCCCTACCTTTTCCCCTTCGAATTTCACTGCGCTTTTGGCCGCTTTTGCGTCTTTTTTCCCTAAAATACCGTTTCTCCCCCCGCCCCATCGGCCTCGGAGCGCTATGCAAATCGCGCGGGGCATGCTGGGCCTCTCCCTTCCCCGCCAGGACTCTGCTCACGCGCAGAGCGCCTCGTCTTCTGATTGGCGGTACCGACAGCACTTCCGGGTGGTGCCCCAGAAGGGCATCCGGTGTGCGCGGCGAAGGGAGCGCAGCCGGCGGCGGGGCCTCGGTCCGCCCGCGGGGCATGGGGAGGTACGGGGCGAAGGGGCCGGGAGAGGTGCGGGGTGAGTGCGTGGCGCAGCCGGCCGAGCTGCAGCCGGTACCGGCGGGGCTGAGGCTGGCCGAGAGGGGCAGCGCTGGCCTCCCGTGTTCCCGGGATGTAAGTCCTAAAGCGGGACGGGGGCGCTGAAAGCTTCGTTTGATTCCAGACGCTAATTACAGCCGCGAGCGGCTCCGCGCTGCTGCAGCCACGCTTAACGAGCTGCGGAGGATCGTCAGGAAGCGAATCGTGGTGTTAATTGAGGCCACGCCACCCGCTGTAAGGAAAGCACGGAGCTGCCCTGCAGTGCTCCCAGCTGGAGCCCCAAACCCAGCGTCTGCTGATGTATTCCGGGGGCTGGAGCTCCTCTGCTGCGTGTTCCTATGGGGTGTTCAGCCTGGAGAAGAGAAGGCTCTGGGAGAGCACAGTGCAGCCTGCCAGAGCTTGGAGGGAGATCGTAGATAGGAGAGAGAGCGGCTTCTGACGTGGGTAGACAACGATAGGACAAAGGGGAGTGGCTTTAAACTGAAAGAGAGAATTAGGTTGGGTGAGCAGCACGTCCCAAACAGCTGCAAAAGAAATTCACGGATGGAATGTGTGCTGCAGTGTGGTGAAACTGTTTCCTGTTGAGATGTTACGAGGGAATGGGTGACACGGGAAATATCTGGTGTTCCTGTAGGAATGAGAGTGATGTGGAAGAGGAGGAAGAGAGAGTAGGTTAACGCTGGCTGCTGACCCCGGGAAGGCTTTGGGAAATGGCCTCTCCGTTCGCTGGGCCCACAGCAGTGGCTGATGTAATTAAAGATCTAGACACGCAGATAGCTGTAAGTAAACTGCGTGAGCTTGCCTTGAGTTGGCATGCAGGACTGGTGGGGACCTCCTCATCCTGGGTGTTTTGCCTTTGGTGATCTTAAAGGCACACAAAAGGTGCCAATAAGATCGAGAGAGAAATGTGCAAAACGACTTTATACCAATAAAGTGCATCCTGCCCCAGGGATTCAAAGCACTGCACAGGCATTGCCTGCTCCCCTGCATGGCAGGTGAGGATTCCTGCTTGGTGGATGCATAAATGAAGCATGGGAGCAAATGGCCTCCAGCCAGCCTCTGTGCAAACCCTGGCGTGCAGTGAAACACCACTGAGATTTGAGCATAAGGGCCTTCTGCCATTGACTGGGTTCAAACTGGGTGAGCCGGGAATTTGCTGAGAGCCCTACAGAAATGTGTCTCAACGTAAATTCTTCTAGAAGAGCTCTGCAGTGCAGCAGTGCATGGGGTTGTGTTGCAGTGAAGCACTAAAACAGCCACCGTCTGAGCGTGATTTTTGTTTTCTGTATGAATTAATCCAAACTAACAGCTTGCTGTGCTGAAGGGAAGATCTCTGTTTGTAGCTGAGACAGGAGACACTCTGCTCATCAGTCTGTTCATGAGTGTATTGCATACAGCAGCTCTGGTCTGTCCATGCAATCGCTTGCAGCTGACAGTGTGAGCAACCACAGGCACATGGTGGTGACCCCACCACGAGATCTGAGCTGCAGGTTGTGCTGCCAGAACCCCATCTGGCTGCCTGTTAGGTTCCCTCACTGTGGCTTTTGGTGTCCTGCTGTGGGAAGCCTCATGCGTGTTTCCTCTCTTGTCACTGCTCCTTAGAACTGGGGCTGAGCTCTGCGTTGTGAAGATGGTTCTGGATTTCAGGAGGGGGGATTGCTGCAGAGCAGGTTTGGAGCAAAGCACTGCTGGAACCGAAACCTCCAGCGTAGAGAGCCTGAGCTTGGTTGTCTTCTGGTTTGGGCTTCTGCCTCCTGGGTTTGTGGAGGATGGAGAGTGACCATGAATGGGGCTCAAGCCTGCTGTGCATTGCAGGCTGGGCCGTGTCCTTAGGGGACTCTGAGCACAGTTTCACCCTCAGAGCTGCCTGCAGTACGTGTGAAGTGGTTCAGGCAGGCCCTGCTATGAGGCTGAATGCACGCAGGACCCAGCAGGGCGAGGAGCCACTGTGGTCAGTGTGCTGCATGCAGCTGCTGTGCTTCTCAGGGAAAAATTCATTCCCCAGATAGCAGGGAATGTTTTCTAAACATTCCTCTTCCTTACTGTGTCTAGAGACCTGCTCTGTAAACTCTGGGTCCTGTCAGTAGCCCCCTTTGGGTCCCTGCTCTGTTTGCTGACTGTCTTCTGTTTCTCTCTGCAGTTGATCGGTTTGGGCCCCCACAACCCCAAGAAGAAGCAGGACCTTGACAAGCTTTATGATCTAAAAGCTAAAGCCCAACAGATTATGAACCAGTTTGGCCCATCTACCTTGATCAACCTCTCCAACTTCTCCTCCATAAAGCCTGAACCTGCCAGCACCCCCCCTCAGAGCTCCATGGCCAACAGCACCGCCGTGGCAAAGATGCCCGGCACACCCAGCGGGGGAGGGCGGCTCAGTCCTGAAAGCAACCAGGTAAACTCAGCCCCAGCTGCAGGGGAGCTGCTCACAGCTCTTACAGCTGCTCAGCAGTGGTGAAATTCCCGATCTTTTGACACATTTGGGCTGGGAGGATGCTGCCTTCTGCCCTGCAATAATCCAGCACTCACGCGTGTCTGTTTGCCACTTGAAATGCTAAAGGTGATGAGCGCTGGAGCGATGGAAATACTTCCTTTGTGTCCTGGACACAAAATTAGTCACTGGAACGTTGCTTGCATTTGCCTTTTAAGATTTCTCATTGTGCCTTTGTCCTCTCTTGCCAGCAGCCACACTTCAGCCAGAGGCATTGTAGTGCTGGTTTAGTGCAGGAATTTAGTCATCCTGGCCTGCTGCTCTCTGCTTTCTGTTCAGAGCAGCCACTGGTGCTTGAAAATGACTCCTTAGCACTTGATGTTTCTTATCTGCCCTTCCTGAGCTGGTGCTACATGTCACCACGTGTGACTGGGGTCTGTGCTTTGTGGGGGAGGAGGTCTTTCGTGGCCGTGCAGAATGGGCAGTTGTTTGCTGAAGCAGCTCAGTAAATGGTTCCTCTTTTCTCTCTCACGTACTCAGGTTTTAACCAAGAAGAAATTGCAGGACCTGGTGCGTGAGGTGGATCCAAATGAGCAGCTGGATGAAGACGTGGAGGAAGTAGGTACCAACCTGCGGCAGGGGCTGCAGAAAGAGCAGATCTGGGGTTTTCCACAGTCCGGTGGCCCTTTGCCCAAAGCTGGGAGGGTTGGTTGATATTGCACTGCCTTCAGCCATCCACGTCTCTGCTTCCCAGCGTCCAGAAAGGTTTCAGGGAAGCACGGCAAACACCCTTGGAGCATTACCTTCTGAGGCTTTGTTTTCATCGTTTCAGCTGTTCAGTGCTGGTAAGAGCAATTTTTGTCCTCTCTCTGTGGCAGATGCTGTTGCAGATCGCCGATGACTTCATAGAGAGTGTGGTGACAGCTGCCTGCCAGCTCGCGCGGCACCGCAAGTCCAACACCCTGGAAGTGAAAGATGTCCAGTTGCACCTTGGTAAGGAGCTTCCCCTCACCTGAGAGGTGGGCTCACACCCCACTGCTGGGGAGAAAACCCACGAGAAGATCCATTGCCCTCGTAATAAGGGGAAAATCTGCCCCCCAACCCCGTCCTCTCCAAGTGGGTGAGGTGTGCTGGCACGTTCTCTCTGTTCCAGAGCGTCAGTGGAACATGTGGATCCCGGGCTTTGGTTCGGAAGAAATCAGGCCCTACAAAAAAGCTTGCACTACAGAAGCTCACAAACAGGTAAGGAGCCCTCAGGAACGTGCTGAGAATCGCCTGGTAGAAGCCTGGTGCAGGTAAGGTGCCTTTGGGCTCCTGGCAGTGGTGAATCTGTGGCCTCTTCCAAGTGGTTTGGACTTGAAGTAACTTCTGGTTCCTCATTGGTTTGTGCAGAGGGGATTGAGTGTGGCAGCCTGGGTGGGAAGGGTTAAAAAGCAGCTGAGAGCATTTTTGGTTGTTGGAATGATGCAGTGCGATGGAAAGCACAGCAGTGACAGCAGAGTAGCCAAGTCCTAGGTTGCAACAAATGCAACAGCAACAAAGGAAAGAAGCTGCTTACGTTCAGAAGGCCTCAGGTACGCATGGATCTGCAATGAGACACCCTCACCTCCACTGCTAACCTTTAAATGAGCTCTGGGAAGGGGTGGATCTTCCAGTCACTCAGGTGCATTGCGTGCAGCTGAGCTTCCCTGGGCTGGCCCTGCCTTGCACCAAGGTGCTCAGTCACTGCTTCAAGCCATGACTTGCATTTCCACTACAACTGTGGCTTGCACAGACACCACAGGAATAATTGTAGGTCTGCAAAGGCCACAAATGAGCACAATGCTGAGAGCTTGCCCTGCCCCTCCTGGCCTGATGCTTCCTGTGCAGGTGGTTAGAAATCAAGGCAAGGCCTGGGGTTTTCTTCCCAGGATGCTAAAGAAGGACTGGAGGAGGCAGGATGCCTGAGGAACTGCCTGGGAGAAGTCTTGTGGCCAGTCCTGTCTGGGATGCAGCATGCGGTGCGAGTAACCAGAACTGCCACCCTGCACTGCAGAGCCATGGTGCAGAGTCACAGTGGCTGGATGTGGTGTCACACACAGGAATCAGTGCTTTACAGCAGGCTTTGGCTCAGCTTCCTTGGGCTTCTTTGTACCCACAGGCCCAGGCTGCACTCATACACTGTGAGCAGTGCAGGGCACCTGCTGTGTCCTTGTGTCACAGGTCTCAGCTGCCTGTCACCATAAGGTTAAACAGCTGCAGCAGAGAACCTGCAGTCATCTGTGATTTCAGCTGTGACTGCAGCTGGGCAGCTGTTTTTTCCCCCCCTTAATTTTGCTTTAACTGAACTGGGTGATTGCTTTTGAACCATGAGGCCAGAGGTGGTGCAGGAGGAGCCCTGCAGGAGCTGTTGGAGTTCATGGCTGGTATTGCAGCTCTCCTGGAGCTCGGCTGGGCTCTGGTCCCTCCCCTGCTGCTGCTGCTCTGCTCTGTCACACAGCCTTTGCAGCCTGGGGGGCTGAGTGGGGACACGCAGACATTTCCTTTTCCTCCAGGACTCTGAGATTCAAATGGAGCTGACAGACCTGTGTGGAAACAAGACAGGCAGCGCCCTGAGAGAACCCGAGATGGGTTGCTGTGCACAGCTGCTCTCAGGTTGTTTTGCAGTAACCTCACCTGAGACTCAGCTTCCCACGTTCTTCTCTTTCTTCTTACAGAGAATGGCACTGATTCGCAAAACCACCAAGAAATAACGCCTGGGAAAAGCTCGAGGTGACACCGGTGCGTTTTGGGATCTCTGCCTCTCACTGCAGCCTCTGCGATGCCACCCATGGGATATTTTTGTTAATGCTTTACAGAGAAGCATATATTTTTTATTAATGGTGCAGCAATATCTGACTTTGTGAGGAGATCTGCCAAAAACATTCTGTCCTCGTTCCCCCCGTAAGAGCGCAGCGTGTCTCAAAGCAAAGACTTTTATTTGTGACTTGAAGGTGGTTTATCGTATAAGTGATTATCTGAGGAACAGAGCATTTGATCGTGTGTGTGGGACAGTATTAGAAGCATCTGTAGAGGTTTTTGTTTCCTCCTTCTGCCCCTCCCCGCTCCAGTACTTTGTAATGTCAGTGTTTATATAAATACTTGCGTTTGTTTTACATGAATAAAGAAATTATTAATCTAAAACCAAGGGGAAGAGGCAGCTGTGGGGCTTGCGTGGTGTCTGCGTGTGAGATCTGTGCTGGGCTGATGGTCTCTGCTCTGCAGGCAGGGCTGTGCCCACCCTGTGCTCACTGTGTCAAGGGCTCCTGATGTGGTTCAGCCTCTGCTTGGCTGCAGGTAGGAGGAAAGTGGTGGCTGTGGATAAGAGCTGAGTGCATTCACAACATGAAGAATCACATCCCAGCATCTGTTCTGCCCAAACTGGCACGCAGCAGAGAAACTACGGCTGCTGTGGGATGTGGTGGGGAGGGAAAGGGCAGCACTGCAGGCTCCCTGCAAAGAAAGGGAGGTTGTGGACACTGCCTCACTGCAGAGCTCGCTGCTGGGGCTCCAGGGCTGCCAGCACCCACGAGTGAAACCCCGTTTGTTGATGCTTGAGGGCTCCGTGCAGCTGGGCAGCCCGGTCTGACTGGTGCTCGGGAGGGAGAGGCAGCTCCTGGCGCACAGAGCTGCCGTCTGTTCCCAGGGCTCTGCCCGAAGCGTGGCTGGGTGCTGCTGGGCGCAGGACACCATAGCATTCTCTGCTCCATAGTAAAACGGGTTTGAGACCCGAGGGCACAGGGAGGGGCTGCGCTCGCTGTCTGGGAACCGCTTTGTAAGGGGAGAGAACAGAAGAACGGGGCTCTGGCACCTCCCTTTCCTCAGGAAACGGGGCAGGCGGTGGGGTGAGCAGGGGGCTGTTTAACGCCATCACTCGCTGCTCCTCCTTCCTCGGCACCCGGCAGAGCCCAGCACCTCAATGCCCTCCTTAGCACGCGCATTTCTTCTGCTTCTCCTTCTTCGGGCACGCTGCTGGCAGCGGCACGCTGCTCTTCACCCCGTCCCACGCCTCGCACGGTGCCAGCAGCCCGCTCTGCAGCGCCCGGTAGATGGCCACGGTCAGCATCTGGAACGCCCGCGTCACATCGCTGCCGTCCTTGGCTGAGGTCTCGACGTACTGCACGCCCAACGAGGCCGCCAGCCGCTCCGCCTCCCTCCTGCCCACCTTACGTTCCCCCACCAGGTCGCTTTTGTGTCCCACCAGCAGGAAAACCACGTGGAAAGGTTGGATGGTGTCTGTCACCTCCCGGTGCCACCGCCGGACGCTCTCGAAGGACGCGCGGTTGGTGAGGTCGAAGAGCAGCATTGCACCCGCAGAGTTGCGGTAATAGGAACGGGTGACAGACCTGGAGAGCAACCAGAGGTGGGGTGAAGGGATCCCCTTCGGTTGGAGCATCCCTGCCCCACCGCCCTGCCCCCATACGACCAAGGAGAACCGGATCCTTCGCTGTACCGATCGCCCCAGGCGGCTCCATCACAACGTGGCGCACGTGGAAGGGAAGCATCCCCATCTCAGATGTATTTTTGGGGAGGTGCAGCCAGCAGCACCAATTTGCTCTGTTTCCCAGTGGGACAAAAGGGAAACCAGCGCCACGCTCTGCCCATGGACTCTGGGGTGCAGGGAAGCTGCCCTGATCCCAGCAGGATCCCCAGCCTCTCCCCCGTCCCCCTGCAGCTCCAGGGGCCCACGGGCTCCTTTGGGCCCTCTGCACTTGGATGCAGGGCTCAGAAGAGAACCCTAAAGGCCACCTGAGGGCAATGCCTTTAGCAACGGAGACACAGCCCTACCGGGGCGTCCTCGGGATCCCAGCCCACAGGAATCCACCTCCCCCTGCCTCCCCGCGAGCAAAGCAGGACCCACCTGAAGCGCTCCTGCCCAGCCGTGTCCCAGAACTGCAGTTTGACCTGCAGCCCCGGCTCCAACTCCACGAACTGAACGTAGAAATCCACCCCCACCGTCTGATTGACAGCATCCAGGAAAACCCCCTCGGTGTAACGCCGCAGCAGGGAGGATTTGCCCACCGTCGAATCCCCCAGCATGATCACCCGGAACTGGTAATGCCACCGCGGCTCCATCGGCTCCCAGCACCCCGCACCCACTGCGTGCTGGGGCAGGCGCTGCTGCTCCTCCCTGGGGTGTGGGAGGCGTTCCTGGGGATGGGTGGCACAGAGGGGGGGGGGGGGGGGGGCTGAGGATCACCTCCCACTTCGCTCAGCTCCATCCAGCTGTAGGCACCAGGGGGTGTTTGGGTGCCAGCCGTGCTGTGGGGCGCAGCCTTGGGACGCTGTGGGTCTTTAACTGATGTGGAGATGCGTGCAGAGCAGTGGGTGATTCTCTCAGTGCCTCCTAAAGCAGAGCATCTCCCTCCTCTCCCCCCCCCACAGTCACAGCTGTGGGGCACCAGCACTTGGCAGAACCTTTATCTCCATGCAGGAAACATTTGGTTTTGGGTGCTGACCCTTTGCCAGCACTTCAGGGAGTCCCACACCACAAAGCCTGGCCCTGCCAAGCCTCTCACCGCCATTGGGAAGATGCTAAAGCACAGTCAGGAGCTCAGCCTCAACTCCACAACACCCAAAAGTTGTCTGCACAGCCCCACAAAGCCTCCACGTATCCCTGCCAGGCAGCCACGCTCATCTCTGCTGCACAGAGAGTCCTGGGCCCCCTCAGCATTCTTTAGGGAGCCTTCCATTGGAATCTCCTCCCAGCCAATACCACCAACACAACCCCCTCCTGTGCTCCAGGGCTGCACAGAGAGCTCAGAGACACACAATGGAGGAATGCAACCATCGTGGGCAGCTGTCGTGTATAAAGGTGGCTCTTTATGATTCAATATTAATGAAGTGCAAACCTGTCTTTCATATCTCACAATCGTTCTCCAAAGTCACTCTGATACACAGAGTGCAGATTCAGAGGAGCAGGTGGCTGCTGCTGTGACAGCCATTTCAGTCCTACAGCTGTAAGGGCCGTAGCAATGGCTCAGCCTCAGTTTATCTTTATTCCCTGGAAATCTACTGAAGCAAAATCACCACCATCTTCACCCCGTGACAGAAAAAACTCATTATGCCTTGCGTTCTAAGGCCAGCAGCAAAGCACTGGTCAAACTGAGAACTGGAGCTGACTTGAAGTCCTGGCTTCCATTCAGAACACAGCTCTCTCTGTGCCTGAGCCTCAGCTGCTCCAGGGGGCACCACAGGCTTTCCAGGGCGTCCCACTACTCCAAGGACTCCCCTTTGTACTGTAGGCACAGCAGACTACACCCAGAGCTCCGTGGCATTTAGGGCACCCTACAGACCTTCCAGTGTGCCCTAAAGGACTCTCAAGACCCCCATGGTAACCGAGGTCCCACTAGAATACCTTCAGAACTCCTCAGTGCCCGAGCTGCTCCTCAGCACAATCTAGCAATCTCCAAGAACCACCCAGTGTGCTCCAGGAAATCCTCCAGTGCTCCCACAGCTCACCAGTGAGCTCCAGAGGCTTCCTAGAGACCCTGGAGGCCTCCCACAGCCACACACCGTGTTCCAGGGCGCTGTCACAGCTCCTCAGGGTGCCCTCAGGTGCCCCAGCAGCTTCCCAACGTTCCCCCCAGTGCATTCTAAAGTGCAGCAGAGTTCATAGAGATTCCCAGAGAAACACCTCCTCAGCGCCAAATAAAACACGTTGAATGATACGAGGTCCATCCATGAAGTCTTAAATTTATGGCAAGAAACAAAGGCCATTCTGTCATGCAATCATGATAATTAGTGAGCTAAGAAATACCCAGGAGAGAGTAAAACCAGCCAGCAGCCTTCGGATGAGACTGCAGGGCTTCGTCACTTCCTTCCATTTGATTCTCCCATCAGTTAGGCAAAGCTATCAGGAAGACAGCCTTCAGCACTTGAACCCATGGCCTGCCAAGCACAGAAGACCTGGGAAGCATTGCTCAGCCTTCTCAGCAGCTCTGCACCACGCTCCAAACAGGAAGAATTGCACGTGTGACCTCTGTGGAAATGGTGATCATTTATATTGCAACAAAAAAAGTAAGTTTTAATGTGACTTTGAGTAGGCAGAAAGAACATCATCCAGCAGCACTCACTGCACTCTGCAGAAGATCCTTAGCCAGCCATCAACACCAAAATACAGAGGAAAAGGAACTTCCATCTTAAAAAGGGGGTTTTTTTTCTTAAATGTAACAACACCTGGAAAACATGTCAAATCCAGAGGGTCTTAAGTGTCCAGTGCAGAAAATTCCTAATAAATAAAAGTGGCAAAAGGTTCAATCCTTAGGAAGGCAGCTACTGTAGAGGAAATTTTGTGAGCTTAACACTTTTGCTTACGGAGCCGAATGACCATCATTTCTCCTCCATGACATCTCCATGACATCATTTCTCCTTCAGAGTCAGATCTTCCTCCTTTAGGGCAAATTTTCTCCTCAAGACTTCTGCTATCAGAACAGCAGGGTCTTCCTCCTTCGCAGAACTTCGGTTTCTACATGGAAGACAAACACAGGGTCAGGAAGGAGAAGTGCCCAGCTGCTGGTATTTCTGACACCTGCAGGTATTTCTCTGCAGTGTTCTGTGTTGGCTTCCATCACCTGCAGCTCCTTGTGCTGGATGAAGGGGGCATTCTGCAAACCTCAGCATTCAAACCTCAGCATTCAAACCTCAGCATTTTTGGTCAGTTGTGTTCATGGCACCAAAAGCAAAATACAAATTTGCCCATTATTAACAAGCTCTGTCCCCTCAGTACAAACATACAAGTGCTGCTTGTTTTGTCTTTTTGTTCCTTTTCTTTTACAAATAGATCATGTACTTGCAAGGCCTATTTCAGTTTCTTAAAAGCTGTTATCTCTCATAAAGCCATTAAGTTGTAAAGCCATTAAGCTTATTTTGATTCCTTAGGGCCATGCAGTCTATCCCCATGGTTTAAGACAGACTGTAAAAGTTGAAGTGCCAATATTTTGGAGGTAACTGTAGTGCACAGCTGCTGTTGCTGGCCCTCCAGCCTTGTGAGCAGTGTTTTATCTTAACCTACCTGGGCTGTTCACAGCCCTGCTCACCCCCTGCATCCCTCATGGGCAGATATGACACTACAAAGTGATGCTTCCCCCCGAATCGTGGGCATACAGCAGCACCAACAGGCAGGTGAATACAACAGCTGGTGCTGGGGAGCAATGGCATGAGGATATTTCCATTGCTGGGTAGCAATGGAATGTCTACCAGGACAAGAGCACACTTATAAGGGTATTTGTTAAGATTAAGCCTAGAAAGCAATAGAGAACGTGGCTCACCCTTTCCAAAGGCTGGTGACAGCTTGAGAAGAGCACAGTCAGCACAACCTCTGAAGAGAGACGTTGCTCCCTTGGCTGCTAACACTTAAATGAGGGTAAGGAGGACCCAGGGTCCAGCCCTTCCAGTCACTCAGACACACTGCTTGCACCTGAGCTCCCTCTGCAGCCCTGCCTTCTCACCTGGTGCTCAATCACTGGTTCAGGCTGTGACCCAGCAATCCTCACACAGGTGTCTGCAATGATCTGACAAACAAAAGCAGAAAAAAACAAACAAAAAAAAAGGATGCCAAACTTTGAAAGAGAAAATACAATCAAACTTACAAGTCTTTGCTCTGCTTCATCCTATGAATGTCTTTTAGAATGCCCATCATGTCTGCAAAACTGCTGGCCTTGGAAAGAGACACAGAATCCTCCTCATCAGGATCCTTTGGTTCTGCTTTGTAGCACTCAGATGCAGAACAGAGCATGGAGACTGAGGGAAGCTCGGGGCTCTCGAGTTCTGCCTCCTCCTCTGTGATGTCACTGATGACAAAGGATGTCGTGGATTGGAAAGAGGGTCCAAAACAATGCAAAGGAGAAGATGCATTTGAACTTCCTGGAGACAATACATCAGGGGTGAAGGAAGCAGAAGCTGAAAGAGAAAACAGGACAGGCGAAAAGATTAAACAGTATTTTATATTTTACTTTGGTTTGGTTTTCTCAAAACAACAGAGCACAAACCAGGGGCACCACGAGCCACCCACCCTTCTGTTATTTACAGAATAAAAGTAAGGAAATCATCACAGCCTGTGTGTTACTCTCCATGGCCACTCCATTTCTTATGGCATGGCACTGCAGCGCAAGACAGAGATGTGCTTGGTTTATTTCTCACTGAAAGAACCTTCCTGCACTGAAAAAAAACCCAACAAAACAACCCTGCAGTTTAATGCCCTGACACCTGTGGCCTCAACACTATGCTTGTCAGTAGTTATTAATTGCCAGCTGAGAGATTTCTCTAACAGTGCAAAAGCAGATCGCACAACGTTTCTTTTTTGACATCAATCTTTCTGAAACGAGCCTGCTGTGCACGCCAGATCCCTGAGCTCCAGTTCAGCCCTCACCCATTCCTGCCCACATCAAGTCAGAAGACACTGATAAGAACAGTTCTCACATGCCATCTGCTGAGCAGGCACGTTGCTGAGTTGAGGGCAGAGAGGAACTGAGTGATTAAACGAGTTTTCTCCCATCCAGATCTCTAATCTTCCTCATCATTACTTTTGGTGAATTTTAGCCCACAGTGTGCCCAGGTGGCCAAGAGGGCCAACAGCATCCTGGCCTGCATTAGAAACAGTGTGGCCAGCAGGAGCAGGGAGGTGAGCATCCCCCTCTACTCAGCTCTGGTGAGGCTGCACCTTGAGTGCTGTGTTCAGTTTTGGGCCCCTCACTACAAGAAAGACATGGAGGCCCTGCAATGTGTGCAGAGAAGGGCAACGAAATGGTGAGGGGTCTGGAGCACAAACCTTATGAGGAGCAGCTGAGGGAGCTGGGATGGTTCAGTGTGGAGAAGAGGAGCTCAGGGCAGAGCTCACTGCACTCTGCAACCTCCTGAAGGGAGGCTGTGGTGCAAAAGGGTCTGGCCTCTTCTCCCAGGCAAATGGCAGGACCCGAGGAAATGGCCAGAAGTTGTACCAGAGGAGGTTTAGGTTGGATATTAGGAGAAACTTTTTCTCTCACAGGGTGGTCAGGCACTGCAATGGCTGCCCAGGGAGGTGGTGGAGTCGCCATCCCTGGTAGTGTTCAAGAGGCGCCTGGATGAGGAGCTACAAGATGTGGTTTAGTGCTGGTGGTACTGATAGGAATGGGAGGGGGGTTGGACTGGATGATCTTGCAGGTCGTTTCCAACCTTGTGATTCTGTGAAAAAGAGCTTTTCTAACTTGCATGCTGGACAGCTGAGAGCCTGGGGGGGGGAACAGCAGGGAATCTGCCCTGCTCTTAATTTCTATTTCTTTGTTGCTCCGAATCAGAGCAGTGAGGGAAGAGGACGCGCAGCCCCTGTGAAGCACGCATCTGTGACAGCCTGACAGCCTGCGGAGCCGAGGGCAGCGCGGCTCCTCGCTCCCGTGCACAAAGCAGCATTCCACCACGAGCCCACAGCTCTGCTCCACGTTCAGAGCTTCTCAGCCGCAGAGAACAGAACTGAAAATGACCAACCGTGAGCTGTGAGGCCCTGGGGCTGCAGCCATCGGCTGCCTGCATTCCGCACATCACCAGATGCAGCCCCAGCGCACAGTGAGCCCTGGTGCTGAGAGGAACCTGGGACCTGTCTGCTGCTGGATGCAGGTAAGGATGGTTCTGAGCCACTGTCTCCCCCACCAACAGCTGCAGGACATCAGCTCGAGTGGTGCACGACCTTGTTTTGTTGCTTTAAAGTAATGGAAAGATTACAGATCCTTCTTTTCCTCGCAGCTGTAACACAACTGGCATCTTGGGCACTGGCCAAAATATTCTGCATACATGAGATGCAGCCTTTAAGAACTGCCTCCAGTTCAATTCCTGCAGCTCGCAGAACTGTTTGTTTACCAATGTATTCCAAGCTGTGAGACCAACTATCCCACTTTCTGACTGCTCCACAAATATACCCAAGTACTTCTGGCCTTGCTGGCTTCCACACTCAAGCAGCCACTGCAGCAACACACCTCATGCAACTACTAGGATTTGGGTTCTAGCAAATATCTTCTCATTTCCAGAGCTCATATGAACTGTATGCACCCTGTATACCCACACAAGGAAGGCCACGAAAGGAAGAATGAACTCACAGCTCAGTTTCATGGCCAAAACATGAATTTTATCACGTTTCCTAAAAGAAATAATAATTAATAAAAAAAAATAATAGATCAGATCAACCACGCTCTTCCCCAAGTACTTTCTTTGTTACATAAATAGGGCTATGCTCACAACAGAAACAAGTGCTGTTGGTCTCTCCTCCCCTCACACTCATAGTCAGCTTGGCAAGAATACCCCATGAACTGCCATGGAGCAAAGTTGTTGGGATGGAACAGCCTGCAGAACACATGCAGTCACAAAGCAACACCTGGTCCTTCTGAAAAAGAAACAAGATTCCTAACGAAATAAATGCAGACATCTGGACAAAGAACCAGCACTGAGTTGGCATCACACCAGTAAGAGTGACAGGCCTGCTGAACAGTAACAAGTCTGCTCCCTATGGAGGAAATAACATGCTTCTCTCCTGCAGCCCTTCTCATTCAGCAGAAGAAAACTCCTGTGCTCCTACCTGGCCCCGCAGCGACAATTTTAGCTATCTGACTCCGAAGGTGACTCAGCTCATCCTGGAGCTCCGTCGTTCGGCTCAGTGCAGGTAAACCAGGCTTCTTCAAGGCCAGCAGCTTCTCTTCCTGCTTCCTCAGGTTGGGGACTGAAGCATTTCGCTGTATGACCGTGAAGGGACTCGGTTTCCATTTGTGTTTCAGAGGGCGAGTGTCACTTCTACGAGACAAAGACCTGCCAGTCACCGATGGACCCGAGCCCCTCCGCAGCAGTGCTCAATCTCCCTGCCCCTCCCTTGGGATGGCAAAGCAGTTCAACACAATAAATCAAACCGTGCTCCACACCTTGCTTGGATGTGCTGTGCCATCACACCGCTGTCTCTCTGCGTTGCAAGGATTGGAAAGTCAAAGAAATCACCATCAAACAGCACAGACAAGGCGAAGTGGCACAGGGACAGAAGTCTCTGTGTGCTCCCACGGCTTCAGATCCCATCCCTCCTGCTAACTGTATCCCCGTGCTGGGCAGTGTGCTGGGTGCACAAGATCAAGCACCACTTACCCATTAACTTCTGCCTCTGGTTTAATCTCTCACAGGATAACCACTGCTGTTGTCCTGCTTAAAGGACACAGGTTTCACTGAACAGCACCAAACTCCAAATGTCCCAGGAAAACCGGGACTCACTTGGAGTGCACAGTGCTACAAGAGGCAGAGGGCACTAATTGGAACACAGGAGGCTTCATCCAAACATCAGGAAGCACTTCTTTACTGTGTGGGAGATGGGAGATGGAGCACCGGAATGGGTTGCACACAGAACTTGTGGAGCCTCCCTTCTTGGAGATGTGCAAAAGCCATCTGGGGTACACTGCTGGAAATCCCTGCCTGAGCAAGGGATGACCTCCAGAGGTCCTTTCCAATCTTAACTACTCTGTGATCCTGTGAGCTCAACCCTTCAACTCTCTAGGCTGAAAAATACCATGAGCTGGAGCCTTGCTCTGCTCAGATGTTTCAGTGAGTAAAACGCAGCACAAGCCCTCAATGCTTTGTGAGCATTCCTCCAGGAAACCTCTGTGTTTTTCTTGCCCCTTGAGAAAAACATCTTTGAACAGGCATCACATCAGCCCTCAAGGTGACCAGAGATCATGAGAGCAGATCAATTTCTGGCCTGCGCTACACAAAAGAAACCACTTTATAAAAACAAGGGTCAACAGACACAAAGATGAAACCAACCTGACTCGGGCATACGTTTCTTCATCATCTGCTGCTATCCACCCAATGTCTGCCAGGGTGGGGACAGGAGGGGCATCATTTAAATAGAGCTCTGAAACATTAGGTAGAACCTACAAAGAAGAAAATCACATGAAGGTAATGGTGGTTCTGTCTCCCGAAGCCACTCTGGCTTCGCTACACTCTGTCAGAGCTTTTCTCCTCTACACCAAGCCAGCCAACAAGTTTGCAACACTGTTTATCCTATGGAAATGCAGTGCTCCACTGCCAAAGTGTGCCCCAGTGTTACTGTGCCCTGAGTCTAAACAGCAAAGCAGCCAAGGGATATTTGATACTGCTGAACAGGCTGCCTAAGCCACGTGCAACACTTTGTCATTACACGTCCTTGACCTCACAGTTACACAAGTGCTTCCATTAGCCTTCCTTACTGCTTAGGAAACAGGCTCAGCAGCTGCACGAGGCCACAACACAAAGCAGAGGTTCAGCAGCACGTTTCTGCCTTTCTAGCTACAAGCTCTCCAACTCTGCACAGGCATTATTGTAGGAGGAGCTTTCCTCAACGTTTACCAATGGTCATTTACAAGCACAGGGATTACACTAAAAGAGAAAAAATACCTTAAAGTTAACTATGCAGCTACACAAAAGTTTTGCAAGTGTTGGTCTGCACACATCTGGTTCATGGTTCAGCAGTTCATGAGTGACACAATGAGATCAACATGTACAAGTAGTTCAGATACACTCCACTTATAGCAAATAAGTGCTCATCTGCACCCAGAACACGTTAAGCATATCATCCCAGCAAGCAAGCTTGCCACAAATTACCCTTATTTTTTTCTGTCTGAATGGTGTGCTGGCATTGAGCACAAAGACACATCAAAAATGAAGACCTGATCCACAATCTGTTATGAGAATTAATGGGGACTGACATCTGGAAACAGCTGTATGTACATTTCTCCAGAGGCTCTATCTTATGTCCGTAGCACGACGTCAATTTATGCTGGCTGAAAATTATCCTGATGTTTTCTTCTACTCAGTCACGCCCTCATAGTGTGTGGTTGCCTTATTTTCATTAAGCTTTATTTATTTTTATTTATTTATTTGAAAGAAGGAGGAGAAAAGAAGCTGCTTTGATTTGCCTTCTATGCCAGTGAGTATGGAGGGGGAATAATGTAAGTCATATCTTCCATTTGTTTGGTTGTTTTTTTGAGACACCATTAACTGAACATCGCTTCTGCCTGCAGTGTGCTTTTGGTATACAAGGAAGTTTCTCCTGGTGGAAACTGTGCTGGAGGTGTTCAAGGCCAGGCTGGATGGGGCCCTGGGCAGCCTGGGCTGCTATTGAATGTGGAGGTTGGTGGCCCTGCGTGCAGCAGGGGGTTGGAGCTTCGTGATCCTTGAGGTCCCTTCTAACCCTGGCCATTCTGTGATCCTGTGAGAGTGCCTTGTTTTGCTCCCTACCCACAGTCACCAAACTCCTTGTGAGCACGCTTACCTCGAAGGTCGCTCTGGGGCAGGGCTTTAAAGGCAGGTTGGATCCAATCCTCCTGACGACGCTGCGCGCCGAGCCGTGGGGTTTGTTCTGCCAAATGGGGATTGTCTGAAAGAAGCCGTGTTGCACAATTAATATTCAAAGTCAGCTGTCCTCTTTATGACCTATTAAACTGGGAGCCGTCATACGTAATCTGAGCTCTGATTTTCGATTTGCTTAAAGATAGTTTTAATTAGGAATATGAGAACCTACCGATAGCTAAGGTTCTAATGCCATCAAACTGTGCTTTAGTCGAGCAGCGAGTCAGTTACTGAGGGGCATTTTAAACACAAGTGCACTGTTTCAGGACTGAAAGCTACAAGTGTTCAGGAACAGACACTGAGCAATACATAAAAACATGCTGAAAGGAGGAAAACACTGTTATGTGAATGGCCCAGAAGAAAAATGAAGCCAGAAATCACATTTAAAGGAGGTACCTTTAATTCCACAACCTTTAAAAGCAGTGCTGACAGAACTGTGAACAATTCTCACACAAAGCATCAAGTCCATTCAATGTCTATCCAAACTGAGGGCCCTCAATAACAGTCACAGGGAGAATTTCCAGAATCAGTGTTTTTGCAATCGCTGGCTACTAATTAAACTGATTCAAAACAAGTTCTGTCTCTCTTTGGTTGTTCTCCCTCCCCCAGTTTTACAGCTCTGCCATTGGCTTTCTGACAGGACACTGCACAGCACCGGGCATCAAACACCACAACGAAAGCCAGGAATCCAAACAGCTTATTTTGCTCAGCTCACCACCAAACCCATTAAGAATTTATCACTGCCATTTGCTACGCTCACAAAGCCTACAAGCTAACCTTAAAATAGCAGTTACATCACTGCACTGAAAAGTCCCCGTGCTTCGAACCGAACGCCCGGCAGGGCAGCGCGCGAGGAGCGGTGCCAAGAGCATCGCGGAGCTGATGGATCGGTGATGGCGGTACTTACGGACTCCGTTGCCATATCGGGTACCGGCAGCTCGTCAGCAGGGCGGGATCAGGACTGCGTGCTGCGGGTCCCGGGGACGCGCTCCGGCCTCATGGCACGCCGCTCGGGGCCGCGCCGCGGGCTTCTCGCTACAAGACAGCGATCATTGCGCTGCAGGGCTGCGCTCTCCCGCACCGGGGCCGCGCCAGCAGCGACCGAGCCGGGCCAAGAGCGTCCCCTGCGCGCTGCCGAGCTCCGGCGGTGCCGCCTGGCCGCTGCCGGCACGAAGCGGCGAGGTCACCCAACCCGATGGAGCAGAACGCGCCGCTCCCGCCCGCCGCCCCGCCCTCACCCAGCGCTACCTGAGAGCGGAGCCGCGCCGCGCCCAGCGCCGCCCCTTCACCGCCCGGAAGTAGAATGCGCACCGGAAGCGAAACTCCTCCGCGCACTTCCGCTGCGGCTCCGCGCGCATGCGCCGCGGGCCCGTAGGCAGCACGTGGGATGGAGCGCGCCCCCAACACCCCACCCGGCGTTCTGCAGGCAAGGACTGAGCGAGGCTGAGCTGGTGGGATCGGTTTAAGGAACGCGGCTACAGGCGGCCCGGACAGCCCGTCACACCGAGCGGCACCGGCGCACGCAGATCCAGAGGCGGAGCAGCGCTGCTTTCCCACGAAGTGCTGCTGGCAGACATCAGCTCTGACCCGTTTGTGGATTTAAGGCCAGAGCGTCACGAAGCACAGGAGATCGTGAAAAGCAGCATCGCCCTCCCCCTTTGGAATATCACAAGCTTACTGAAAAATATAGTAAGATTACAAATATAAGAGAAAACGCTTGGCACGTATTAAAAAAAAAAGTCCTCAGCTAACAGTTTCTGTCCAGAGCCCATTCACAGCAGTGGATGGAAGGTGACAGGTTGATTGCGATGTCTTGTGGTTCATGAGATAACACGAGGACACTGCTGAATCCAGGATTCTCCACATTGCTCCAGGCTGTCTGGGCTCCTGCTTCAATTCAGACGAATCCCTTCTTGCTGTGCTCACAGCACCAGGGAGAGGGGCTCCGGTCCCTCCTCTGCCTGCTGCTCCCTAGCTTTGCAGAACTGCTCCTGTACCTGATTCCCCAAGCCTTGAGGAGACAACCCTGAGTTGTTTCAGCCACTGCTCTCTCTGGCCCCTTCTGCTGCAAAACCAGTCAAAAGAGAAATAAATGGAATGAATACACGTGTGCTGCTTTGAAGTCTGCAGCTCCAGACTAAGAGGCTAACAAAAAGTGAGAAATGAACAGAAACCCTCAGGTAAAGCTCCTGCTGTAAAAGCTGTAAGAGCAGATAACACTAAAGCAGTGCTTCCCAAGGTGCTGGATGGAGGTAGGCACTGTGCTCTGTTGCTCTTGCCTTGATTCAAAGTCCCCAGAAAGGTCAGAGGGGGCTGAGCTGCCATGGTGACTTGACTCCTGGTCTCTTTAACGCTGTCTGGAGGCTTTGACACTTTCCACAGCCACCACTGAAAGCACTGCCTGTATGTAATCCAAACCTGTAATTACTGCAGGCCACTTGGAGGGCTAGAAAAGTGTGGAACTAATGCATAGTTAAAAAGCCAATACTAGGAAACATCCCACAGGTAATTAATCTCACTTAGAGCAATTAGCTACACTACACTGAGTTGTTCAGAGGTCCATCTAAACTCAGCCTGATGACCTCCAGAGATCCCTTCCAACCTTTTCCCTTCTGTGTTTCTGTGAGTCGTGACCCCAGCATCCCTTCCAGGTCCTGATGCCCAGAATGAAAGTACCCCCCTTTCCCCTAACTTTGGATTAGGTCCAACAAAACTGTGCTTCAGAGAGCAGAAAAAGTATCAATTGAAAGGGCTGCTTGCAGGCATCTTTTGAAGATGGTTTGTCTCACCTATCTACAGGAATGTGCTTAGAACACCATTTCTTTTACTTTTCCTTCCCTAAATTTCACTCACTGTGCAGTCAGCCATTGGTACAGAGGAGGAACAACTGCTCAGGATGTTTATAGACAAGAGCAATTGGCGCTCTGTCCGAACAGTTCCCTCCCTGGAAAATGCTCCTGGCAGTTTCTTTAAAACTGGTCCATTCTAAACCATCCAAAACTCTCAGGATAAGGCTGAATCTCCCCTTCCTAAAGGTAACTTTATCACGGTTCATTATTCAGTATGACTTGAGAAATCAGAGCAAACGTGCACTGAGTATTTTGTCACTGCTGCCGACACGCTGGGAGAACAAAGCTCTCAGAACAGGTGGGGTGGGAGTAGCTTTGGTCTGAATAGGATGGGGGCACAGTTCAGTACAGCTCCCATCGCCTGTAGGCACACCCTAGGACAGGTGGAGCTCACTGCCAGAGGCTCTGGCCCTTAGTCCCCAAGTTAACCCATACCTGACATCTCCGAGCTGCACCATACCTCCAACGCCCCATTCTCCACTCCTAGTTGCACCACATCAACCTCACCATCTCCATCAGCTGCAAAGACTGAGTGATACAGCTCTTGCACCACGTCGCTCAGGATAACCATCCCAGGAAGCTGGGAGGAGGCTACTTCAGAGATCAAGCTAGATCTTCCTACTTCCACGCCTACACATTATCAGCTACAGTCCTTTACACACAGGTTGCCACTGCTGTCAAGAATGCTGTCACAAAGAACTGGGATCCACGCCACAGAGCAGCTTACAGCTCAGTGCTGCTGGCAGGAAGCTCGGCACACACCAGCTGCCCAGGGAAGAGCTTGCTGTCTGCACTGGATTCTGTGCACTTGCCCACACAGCACGGATGTGCATCATGATTGTTCAGTCATCACAACAGTGCTGTTCTCTGTAACTCAACACACAGTCCTTGAGATCAGATGTTTCCTGGTAATGCTTGGTATGGCTGTAAAAAGAGTTTCATCCCAGAGTCTGAGCAGGAGGAGGAAGAGTATGGGGGTGGGTGGCAAGATGTATGCACAAAGAATGTTTATAGATCCAAGTATTTTCACTCCTGTAAAAACTTGCCTGAACTCAGAAGGGCAGATGACATAAACTGGTATCACTTGGAAGTTTAGCCTTGAACCAACATCTCCAGATCATCCATGGAAAAGCCCCCGTTCTGGAATTGTCTGCATCTTAACATCAGTGCATGGCACAAAGATGAGGAAGAACTGCTGCAATCGAAATGGATGTCTGAAGTGTTTGGCCAACTCCATGAGGCATTCAGGTGCCTTTGGTTTTAGTTCTGCAAATAAGCTTTTGCTCTTTGCAGTCCTTCCTTAAGAAACTGGAGGTAAGTTGCAGTAGAAGGGTCATCAAAATTGGATGAGAAACTAAAGATACTACTTTCAACATCTTCAGGCTTCATAGAAGTAATATCCAGGAAGTAGTTGGCATTGATATGGTGAATCTAGGAGAGAAAACAGATGAGAAGACTTTAAAGGCCTGCATAATCTCCCATCCACTGCCTTGGCCTCTAGCCATGACACAAGACTGCAACAACTCTGAAAGAATCTCAAACACTTTGCAAATGCTAATTCAGCATCGAGGATTCGGGTTTCTATTTCACAGTCAGACAAAGATGAGCAAAAGACAACGGTCCATGGTCCATTCTTTCTCTTGAGAGTGCTGACCCCTCATTTAGATTAAGAAAAATACGAAGGGGATTGGGAAGAAATCACACAGGTGTGAAACTTAGCAACGAGTGCAAGTCAGCACGTGGCAGCCCAGCCATGCTGACTGCTGGGGTGCATGCTATCAGACCAGCCTACATGCAAAACCAGCACATGTGTTTAAAATGCCTTCCATTCCCCAAAGGAAATAGGAGAGGGGCCCACAGAGTCACTGCGTCATCCACGAGAACAACACACAGTCCTACAAAGCATTGAGGAGCCACAGAATGGCTGAGGGAGCATGGCATTCAGGCTCTGCAGGTGAGAGTACATTCAGGTGGGGAGAACCAAGGAAAATTGAAGAGATAACGATCGTACCACCGTGCCATTGGGAAGGCAGATGATCATCTCCACAGGGAAGTTGTATTTTTCAAGGTGCAGGTCAGCCAGCTTGCTGTAGAACTCATTCTCCCTGTTTGTCTGTAAAGGAACCCCAAAGAAACACACTGTATACACCAAAACTAGCAGAAGAAAGCAGGAGTAAAGCTAACATGAGAACCACTCTGTAACACGGTAGCTGCCTCCATTTTCATGATCTGCTTTATTATTCCCTTGCAAGTGTCCCCCTGCCCTCACACTTCTGCTAAGCTTTTCTCCTCCAAAAACAAAATCATCCCATTACTGGCAGTTCCCAGGCACATCAACAGTCCAACCCCAGCTTTTCCCAGCATCTCCAGCTCTGTAACTGACCCCTGCTTTCAGCAAAGGCCGAGGGATAGACTCATGAGTGGGGAAAGGTGCAGTCAGGAGATCCAGGAGTCAGAGAATTTGGTTAGTGCCTGGGTTACAGAGAAGTCAGCCTGCCAATAGCACAACAAGCCCTGGACAAGGCTTAAAGCATCTGGGAGCAGTGAAACATCTGGTTTGGTTTTTTGTACTGCCACCATGACAGAGTGAAAGGGATGACTGTGCTATTTTCTTAGCCAGCCTCTATCTGGTGTTTGTTCTGCCTCTGGTCACTAGAACACACAAGGCTTGGAACCAAAATCCCTCATCTGCACAGGTGTGATCTCCCCTCTTCTGCCAGCACCTCTGTGCCAAGCACCACCTGCGTTCACCAGCACCAAACACAAAGAAAGCAGAGGGGCTGTGACACTCACCTGCAGCTCTTCCAGCTCCTTTACAAGTGACCAGCTGCTAATGAAGCTCTCATTCAGCAGGGCGAGGATGGGCGAACTTTCCAGGACAGTCTCCCGGAGAGTTCGCCCTGAACCTGGCACACAAAGAGGGGCAGAGAGTTGTTTGCAGCTTCCAGGCTGATTGTTGCCACGATTCACGCCACTGCTGAGCTGCTGCAGCAGCTGCCTTAGGCTCTCCCTAACCTGGCACACGGTCTTATTTCCCCTCTGCTGACAGTTTTCCATAGCTTACTGCTTCCAGCATACACTGCTGGTAAAGAAGACTCACCAGAGCAGATCCCACCCACCTGCAAAACAGCACAAGGACCGGGGCAAGAATGTCACAGGGGCTGACAGGGCTGGTGCTTTTCAGAAAAGATCAGCCTGCGCACTCACCCTGAGTGCCTCTTGCTTTTCACACTAAGCAGAGCAATCTGCATAGAGAGTTTTTAAGGGCAGACAGGACAAAGATTTCCACACCTCTCCCAGATGTTTCTCCCCTCTTCTGTAGCACACAAGTTATTGGGCACATGGAGGAACAGCCTCACAGCAGCACAATTCCAGGCCCACACCTGGCTCTGGCTTCTCCCATGCTGGTGTCAGGGACAAAGCAGAGAGCAGTGTCTCTTTAACTCTGCAGATGCTGCCTCTACCTCAGCAGACTGAGAAGGGAAGAGGGAAG